GTTTGGTTTTGTGGGGGTTTTTTACTTTTTGCTAGTCAGGATATAACCTCTCAGTCTTTGTAACTGAATTTTTGAGAAATAGAATGGAACACAAGACTGGCATTACAGATCTGAGATACCAACAAAGGTAGCATTACTTGGCAGTGCTTATATTCAGAGAAACAGCAATACTAATACAGACTCAATATATTGCACATACAATTTCTTTCATTTCTGGTAATACAAAAGGCATTGCAGAGCATGTTTCAGTCAGATGAAGGAGTCTCATATAGTTATGGTGAACAATTCTACCAGTTTATGTATTTAATATAATCATAAGAATTTTCAGATAAGGTTCTAAATGGGAAACTGGAAAATAGGTAGACTTCATAGGACACCGCTTCCTAACTGAAAAATATGACAAACTTATTTTTATTGTAATTCTGTGTATGCAATATACCCATATATTTCATGCATATTGGTCTAACAACAAATATAAGATGTTGGAAAGGGCATAGAAATTTGAAATATAAATGAAAAAATAAATAGAAAAGATAGAAATAGAAAGATGGAGAGATTTAAAACAAATATGAAAATCGGCAGAGGCTTAAGATGTTTTAATATATAAGGGATATAAAACTGAAAACACAAGGGGCTAAGAAGTCCCAAGCAAACAGAGAAAACACTTAGAAAAATACATAGACAAAATCCTGAAATCAGCAGAAGCAATATGAACATGTGAGATTAATAACACAGATTATGTGTTAATCTAACTTTACCAGCTTTGGTTACATAAAAAAGTTCAATTGACTTTAGGGGAAATAACTGCATAAATAAAACAAACATGAATTACTACTATATAATCTCCTTTTATCACAGATATGATACAAAGTAAGCTCTCAGGAACAATCTTCCAGAGAAAAGTGAATTCTGAGAACAGTAGACACATGCATTTAAAAAAAAGGTTTTGTGTATATATGTACATTATAACCAAGAAAGACCCTAACTACTAAAATATAGTTAAATACTGTGAAACCAAGAGATTACAGCATACCTGATATGAGTGGAGTAAAGAATTTTGACTAGTGGTTCATGAGCAGAACTGCTGTAAAGGAAGGATTTGGGATTGGTGATGAGAACTACGGGCCATTCTTCAAAGTTAAGATCTGCGAAGCTAAAGAGGTCATGATCAAATGCAAGGATCCGGTACCTTTAACGAAATGAAAAAAATTTTGTTGATACAAACTACTGCATGCACAGCTGATTCCCATGTTTCCCAAGTTCCTAAACAGAACTTGCTTGATTTATGTTCCATTTATTCTCTTCTGTAGTTGATCCTATAGTAACCAACTCTGCTCTATTAACTGTACAGCTGGTTACCTCTGATTAGGTTCATTTTATTATAAATCACTGAAGCACCACTCAAGATTCCAGATCTATTGAATTTTGCCCATGAATCAGATAGATGAGCATTATGTTAAAGAAATCAAATACGAAGTACATTGCTATGGTGTCTGGGTAGGTACTGTAGTTATGGACAAAGACCCCAGTGTGCTCTCTTCTTGTATGCATACAAGCATCTTTCTTTGGATTATTGCAGAATAAAAGCTAATATACTACTAGACATTCCATGTAGCATTGGACACTTTTTGATACACTGCTAGGGTAACATTTCTCAGGCACACTATTTTTGTCTCTGAAATTCTAACAGCTGGTTCAGAGCATGGGTATTTTGAAGTAGTGATGCTGAATTTTGTTACAATTCATTTGTCTACTTTGAATACTAAACACCTACTAAATGGTTACTTAGATGCCCTCTTTTTAATTTCTAAGTATCAAGAATGAATCAAAAAATTACTTTACTTAATTTATTTGCACACTGTTGGTACATGTGTGCCCACAAAAATCCCAAACCTACACACAGAGACATTTTTCAAAAGCATTAATAGTAATAACCAGTCAGGCAGATCTAATGCTTCTTTCAAATTCACCAAACAGCATAAAAGGGAATCACAGTATAACCAGGTAGGCTCCATATAATAATTTGCTCACTTAGGGTTTACTTACCTCCTGTTATCCATCCAGTCTCCCAATTCGAGTTCCAGAGTGCCGCCACGGTGTTGACTGTGCAAGACTGGCATCAGCCCACCCATTGTATGGAGATGCCCACATAAATAGGCTGTGGCAGAACTAATAAAAGAACATAAGAATTGTGATATTTGGGTGGGAAGGAAATACCACTGCAGAAAACCTGAAAAGTGACAGAGAAGTATGTGAAGAGAGGCAAGAAATGTACTTCAGACTGAAAACGTACGGGGAAAAAAAGGAAGATCTTACCTCAGTAATGATCGTATTCCTGGGACTGGGGAGATGATTGTTGAGGTGGGAAAATGGCCAAACCAGACAGTATGATTGCTGTGCAGACTTTCTGTTGCCATCAGAGATAGCTCTTTCATTTGATTCTGAAACGGGCAGGTGTTTGAAAGACAAACAACCAACCAAACAAACCTGTTTAACATTCAGGCTATTTGGAAAGAATAGCAAAAGGAAAGCAGAAAGAAACTAATGAAGAATGCAATTCATCCTTTTTTTTTTTTTTTTTAAACAGAGAATACTCAATTGCTTCAGGGACCTGTGCATGAACAAACCATACT